TTTCATAGGCTTTTTTGAGTTTGAGCAAGGACACAGGAGCCCCATGATCCCCTATTGCCTGTGGGCCCCATGAGTTGTCAGTCCGCCCCTGCATGCAACTTTGGGGTCCAAAGTCGCTTGACAAGTCACACCCCATGTTTCCCAATGGGTACTAATCATATCTGAGCAACTACTTCCTGCACTACTTTGGTCTGACTTGAATGTAAACTTGTGAAAATCGCACCTGAATGTTGTACATGCGACTTGTGTGCAACTTTGCACAGCGCAAACAATCATCCTTGGCCAAAGTCGCACAAAAGTTGCAATTGCCCAAAGTTGCATCAAAGTTGCTTCAAACTCATACCAAGTTGCACTGTAAAGACGCAATGAAAATCACATGATTTTGAATTTGCACAAGTGCGAATGGACCCTAAAAGGCTATGTGTGCATGGACACATAGGGTAACATGGAGGGGCGTTTTAACCACTTCCTGTCCAGTCATTGTAAATAAACGGCCGGCGGGTGGCAATGCAGGGTCGGGTGGCCATTTATAAATGGCCTCCCCGCCCCCTGCTTGTGCGCGGTCCCTGGGAGTGCGCAGCACCGCGATCCGCTGTCCGCTGTGTCCTCCAGGCACAGTGGAACACCGATCGTCAGACAGGACCTCTGTACGAGGTCCCGAACATGTGATCACTGATTGGCCAATCAGTGATCACATGCAGAGTAGTAAACAAGATGTCACTTCTGACATCATTGCTTACTACGTGTGAAATCTGTGAATGATCACAGAGATCACATGGTACAGGACCATTCACAACAGTCTTGTACCATGTGACAAGCTGTGACCAATCACAGCTCACACAGTATTTCTCAATGGGTGCAAGAATGCAGCCAGAGAGAAGGAGAAATGATTGCTTTTACAGTCTTTATGGGTGTAAAAGCAATCAGTGTAAAAAAAAAAAAAAAATCTTCTTCACCCCCCACAAGTAGTACAGCGTCACCATGGTGACACTGTACTGATAGGGTGACTATGTAAAAAAAACAAAAAAAAATAATAATATAAAAAAAAAAAAAAAAATGTAAAAAAAATGTTTAAAAATTATAATTTTTGGTTATAAACTAATTTGGGTTATTTTTTTTTTTTTACTAAAAAGATATCGGAATAAATTTTGGCCAAGATTTATGAAGAAATATTATTTATTTGCAAAATTTTATAAGAAAAACACTTTTTTTCAAAAACATTTTTCACTTACATAGCAAAAAAAAATAAAAATCCCAGTGGTGAATAAATACCACCCAAATAAAGTTTTATCGGTCTCAAAAAATGCTAAACAATTCATATGGGTACAGTGTTGCATGACTGCGCAATTGTCATTCAAAGTGTGATAGCGCTGTAAGCTGAAAATTGGCCTGGACAGGAAGGGGGTAAAAGTGTCCGGACTGGAAGGGGGGGAAAGTGTCCGGACTGGAAGGGGGGGAAAGTGTCCGGACATGAAGTGGTTAAAGCAGTAAAAAAAAAAAGAAAAAAAAGCCCATCACCCCTTACCCTCGGTTCATACCTAAGCGTCTTCTGCAGTGTTCGCGTTTTGTATAAACACAGTACAGTCCATTTTACATGATTTCCTATGGGACGCGTTCACATCTCCGTGTTTTCACCCGCTGCGTTTTTTGGAAAGGGTCAGGGAATTTTTTGAATGCTGAAAGTTGAGTTTTTCGTTCTATAGACTTCAATGGAAACGTTGCAGAAGAGCATGTATTGAATTTTTGATGCGTTTTTGATGCGTTTTGTATTTTAAATCTGCCTAGCAGCAAAAAACAAAATGCAAAATGCACCGAAAACAAGACAAAAAAGCGCCAGAGACGCAGGTGCAAAAATGCAATGCAGAAACAGCTCAAACACAACCTGCCTAGGTTCTGCAACCGGAACGCACTGGAACTGCAAGCACTGATGTGAACTATGACATTGACAACCCTATCATCTACTTTCTGTGCGTTTTGGATGCAGAAAAAAAGCAGCTGAAATGCACGTCGTGTGAACTGGCCCTTAGACCCTGCATATCTCAATAAAGAGAACCTGTCACCAACAAAAAATCATCACACAGGGGACTTTATGAAGTGACATCCAAGGACATAACATCCCCCTCCAAAAAAATTTTGAACCCCACATATATGCACATACGAACGTAAATGCATGTGTTGGGGTGCCTACCAGTGGTGTATTTAGGTTTTGTGCTGCCCTAGGCAACAAAAAAATTGCCACTCCCCCCCCCACCCAGAAAGAGCCTGACATTGACCAAGAATACCCCTGCTTTCCACCTAAGAGAGCCTTCAACTACCACTGCCCCCCATACACCAGCCACCATCCCCCATGATGAGAGAGAGACACTCACCTTCACAACTCCGGACATCCCCAGGAACGAGAGTCGGATGAAATATTTCCGGCGTGTACATGTCTACCTTGTATGTAACACATGATGGTGCAACGTGTCGTACTTTGAACGCCAAGTGGGGACTACTCTGTCTCATCCAGTAATGAGTTATTCCTTACAAATTGTAATTCTACATTTACTATTTATTTATTTATTGTTTGAATATAACCCTGTTAAAATTAAAGTGGCTGTAAACCTCACGCATAAAATATGAGCAAAGCATATCCCTCTATAGTGTGTACTTGTCTCAATCCAGAGCACTAAGTGCCATTTCTGGCCGCTGCTTTGTTCCTTTTCTATCTGCTTATGGTGGTAGGGGAGGGAGCTCCAACACACAGCCTGTGATTGACAGCCTCAGCTCTGTTCCCGTGTGCTGTGTGAAGGGGAGGGGTGTCCCTTTCCTCCAATCAGCTCTCAGAGCGCTCCTCACTGATCTCTACAGAGTGTAACTTCATATCTCCGCCCCCTTTTTTCCTGAAAGCTCAGACAAGCTTTATAAATTTTTGACTTTGAACAAATGTAGATGAGAGAATACTGCAGATAAACAGATACAACTTATGTAGGAGGATTTGTTTCATCTCTGTGTATCACCTGAAGCCAGTCACTTCATTGGATATATGTAAGGGTTCGCAAAAAATTTAAAATAAAAGCCTAGTCTGTCTAGAGATGTTTAATATTTTTTTTATTATGTTTTTATTAAAAAAATATAAATTTTAATAATTCATATAATGAATAATTAAATATGTATATTTTTAACAGAACAGTATTTCTCCATCTAAACCCCACTAAGTGCATTTCTTCCATCTACTTTTGGCAAAATTTGACAACCTTTGCCCGTGGCAAGGGCGGACTGACCATTTGAAAACTCAGGCACTGCCCGAGGGCCCGGGGTCAGTAGGGGGCCCCATGAGATGCCCCTGGTACCTTTTTCATAGACTTTTTTGAGTTTGGGCAAGGACACAGGGGCCCCATGATCCCCTATTGCCCGGGGCCCCATGAGTTGTCAGTCCGCCCCTGGCCCGTGGTATCCAATTCTGTAATCCATCTCGTAGTACAATGTTTATTCTAAGAAAAGCCCCTGAAGCAAATGTCTAGGAACAAAAATAAATTTAATTAAACTGCAACAAAAGTTCTAATTCTGGAACATTAAAAGTTCTCATGGAAAAAGAAACGGTGCGAATATAGGGAGATGTTAAAAAAAAAGAGAGAGCCCAGAAATCTTCTAGATAAAGCCCAAGAACATTTTATATTTCCTTGAAAGAGAGGGCAACATCTGGCAAAGCTTAGATCTCTGAAGGCAGCAAGACTTGTAGGAAATGAAACGTTCCTTGTATCAACTTTGTATGAAAGGCTCTTCCTTGGAGCGCATGCTTGCTGGCAGAAGGTCTGAGTCGGCAATAATTTGCTTTTGCCATATTCATACTACATATGGCTGCATGTCTCGCTCATGAGAAAAGAAGACCTTTGCTGGACTTCTTTTGTTTCACAAAAGATTTGGTAAAATTTTCCAGCAAGTACAACGAACATGGTCATAAAAGCATATGAAATACACAATAAATATATGGTAACAGCAAATTACAATTCCCAGCATTCTTATAACCAAATAGAACGGTGGTACCGCAACCAGTAGTGCTGCCAAGGAGGTCGGTGTATGAATACACTCTGAAAGGCACAAGAGGTAGGTAGTGTCTTGGAAATTCGCTTTTAACAAATTTCTCCTTACCGTGAGTACTCGCAGTTGGATGCGCAGCAATCCCCCATAAAGCTGTGCGAATCTCGCTTACCACGACTTCAGCTTAGCTCCACGATTCCTGCGCCTCCAACTGGTTTAGCTATCTCAGAATTGTGGGGAAATGGAGCTCCAGTTACCTGGGAATGATCACACGACACTCTGAGGTTGCTGTTGGAATTCACATAGAGGCCGATCCAACCCCAGCCTCCGATTTTTATTACAAACACACGCACGCCCCCCCCCCACATGAGTCAGGTCAATCCCCTCCCACAGAACAATGCATGAGGAGTGCCTATACACAGGATGTACATTCCGATTGGAGCGTAGCCTTTCCTTTTATCTATCACTAGTCCTCCCCTCCCTCCATGAGCTCTCTGAGGGAAGCAACCTTCCCCCTCCTATTAGCTCCTAGTGATATGTAAATTCTCTGTACAAGCATCCCCTAGATTAAACAGTGTCAGTCTGTATCTGAATGGGCCCGATACGATCTTTATTAAAACACATCCATCCAGATACAGTTTCAGGTCGGTAATGGCTTGTAAGATTCACATGAGCCTACACACGGAGTTCGCACTGCTTGGCGCCTTGCGGTACGAAGTCCATGTGGTACTATGCTGCTAATATGTGGATACAGGCCCGCGGCCTACTGCCGGTGGCATTCGCATCGAATGCCGTGGTGGTATACATGCCAGTCTATAAGCGCAGATCTGCCATCTCATCCATTACCGAGCTGAGTACTGTAATACATACATTGTAAATGCGCATGGCCCAATTGCAGCCTTCAGAGCTTTAATTAAGTCACACGAGAGACATATGAAATAACACTAATATATGACACATTTAAAGTTCAACCTGTAAATACAAAATTTCCATGACAGTAGGAAGACTTTTATGGGTCTATTTCCCAAAGACAACCTCTGGATATGACGCTGAGCATGTCCACTCAACCTCTTTGGTCGACTATGACGAGGCCTGTTCTGTGTGGAACCTGTCCTCTTAAACCGATGTGTGGTCTTGGCCACCATGCTGCAGCTCAGTTTCAGGGTCTTGGCAGTCTTCCTATAGCCTAGGCCATCTTTGTTGGGAATACAACAGCATGTACTATATAGTATTGTGTGTTAATATCACTTGACCAGTAGATGGCACTGTACACTAAGGTTACTAGTTGTGCATATATGTAAAACTTGTTGGTTCTCTCTCTTCCTCTCTCTCTCTTCAGGAAGTAAGATGTCTGCTGTTATACATTGCTGAAATGTGCTTTGTATGTTTGCAACTTAAGCCACACAAATAAAGTCATAGTTCTGCTTCATCACTACCAGTGTCTTCTCTAACACATAACCAACAGTCTTTATGTAGAGCAACAATTCTTTTTTTCAGATCTTCAGAGAGTTCTTTGCCATGAGGTGCCATGTTGAACTTCCAGTGACCAGTATGAGAGAGTGAGAGAGATAACACCAAATGTAACACACCTGCTCCCCATTCACACCTGAGACCTTGTAACACTAACAAGTCCATGACACTGGGGAGGGAAAATGGTTAATTGGGCCCAATTTGGACCTTGTCACTTAGAGGTGGACTCACTTTTGTTGCCAGCGGTTTAGACATTAATGGCTGTGTGTTGAGTTATTTTGAGGGGACAGCAAATTTACTTGTTATACAAGCTGTACACTGACTACCAGGGGCGGACTGACCATTTGGAAACTTGGGCAATGCCTGAGGGCCCGAGGTCAGTAGGGGGCCCCAAGAGATGCCCCTGGTTCCTTTTTCATAGGTTTTTTGAGTTTGGGCAAGGACACAGGGGCCCCATGATCCCCTATTGCCCAGGTGCTCCATGAGTTGTCAGTCCGCCCCTGCTGACTACGTCACATTGTAGCAAAGTGTCATTTCTTCAGTGTTGTCACATGAAAAGATAGAATAAAATATTTACAAAAATGTAAGGGGTGGACTCACTTCTGGGAGATACTGTATATATATATATATATATATATATATATATATATATATATATATACGCTATATTGCCAAAAGTATTGGGCTGTCTGCCTTTACATGCGCATGAACTTTAATGGCCCCCCAGTCTTAGTCCGTAGGGTTAAATATTGGGTTGGCCCCGCCCTTTGCAGCTATAACAGCTTCAACTCTTCTGAGAGGGCCATCCACAAGGTGTAGGAATCAGGGGCGGACTGGCCATTTGGAAACTCTGGCACTGCCCGAGGGCCCGGGGTCAGTAGGGGGCCCCTTGAGATGCCCCTGGTACCTTTTTCATAGGCTTTTTTGAGTTTGGGCAAGGACACAGGGGGCCCCATGATCCCCTATTGCCCGGGGGCCCCATGAGTTGTCAGTCCGCCCCCTGGTCAATGCATATCCGCCCTGGTCAATGCAGTCCGCCCCTGGTCAATGCATATCCGTTGGTCAATGCAGTCCGCCCCTGGTCAATGATATCCGCCCCTGGTCAATGCAGTCCGCCCCTGGTCAATCCAGTCCGCCCCTGGTCATTTGCATATCATCCCCTGTTCAATGCAGTCCGCCCTTTCAATTAATTTCCGCCCCTGGTCAATCAGTCCGCCTGAGAGATATGAGAAACCCCCTGGTCAATGCAGTCCGCCCCTGGTCAATGCAATTTCCGTTCCTGGTCAATGCAGTCCGCCCCTGGTCAATGCATATCCGCCCCAATGCAGTCCGCCCCTGGTCAATGCATTTCCCCCTGGTCAATGCAGTCTGCCCCTGGTCAATCCAGTCCGCCCCTGGTCAATGCATATCCGCCCCTGTCAATGCAGTCACTGCTGGTCAATGCATTTCCGCCCATGGTCATTGCAGTCCGCCCCTGGTCAAACGATATTTGAAACATAACAAACCATGTATAAAATCTGGTATTATTTTTTATCCAGTTTTTATAGGTAAAGTTCCACTTTAAGTTGCATGAGTAGTTTTGTCTTGATTTGTCTGCAGAACGAAACCTGTTTTGAAACCAAGGCTTTAAATACACTGGGCCTATTTTTGTCCTAGAACCATGTGGATTAATATGGCTGTCCATGACTTTACAGGGAATGGTGGGAAATATCAAATCCCACAGTCCAACTTGTAGAAGATTGGTCTTCTAGCTCTATATTTGGTAAATATTTAAAAAATTTTTTTGTTTAGTTAAATTAAAAATAGAGTTGAAATCAGCATTTCGAGTGTAAGAGAAATTAATGGCATTTTTCAACACATAAGTTTAATGTATTTCAGAAGATAACTTCATAGAAAATACTAACATACAAAGAACGGTTGATTTACCAAAGGGGTAGGGCCTTAGAAAATGTTCATGTTCTCTGAGCTTAGTAAGTAAGGGGGAGTTGTGGTCAGTTCTGTCATCCAGCCATAGACAGGAAAAAAATCCTTTTTTTCACGTGCACGTGTTTGGGTGTTCAAAGTGAACACAGCTTCACTTTACTTAATAGCAGGGGCGGACTGACCATTTGGAAACTCGGGCACTGCCTGAGGGCCCGGGTCAGTTGGGGACCCCATGAGATGCCTCTGGTACCTTTTTCATAGGCTTTTTTGAGTTTGGGCAAGGACACAGGGGCCCCATGATCCCCTATTGCCCGGGGGCCCCATGAGTTGTCAGTCCACCCCTGGCACTGCCCTATTAGTACCAGCCAGCAGGTAATCTTGTTGACAGTGCATTTGGGGCGAGACCCCTTCAGGAGGCGTTTGGGCGGCATTTTTCATCCACCGGTCTCAGTTTTTTCTTTATTAATTTTTGTTTCATCATTTTTGCCTGAGATATATGGGAAATCCGTGGCTGTGTTCACATAACAATTTGTTCCTAATATTTCCTGGCGGTTTTTAACCTCACATGGAAGCACTGCCCGAGGGCCCGGTATCAGTAAGGGGCCCCATGAGATGCCCCTGGTACCTTTTTCATAGGTGTTTTTGAGTTTGGGCAAGGACACAGGGGCCCCATGATCCCCTATTGCCCGGGGGCCCCATGAGTTGTCAGTCTGCCCCTGCTTAATAGTATACTAATTTTTTTTATACTTTTACCTACAGGTAAACTCTATTTGAAAAAAATATATTTGAAATATAAAATTATTCTTCCCAAATATTTTGACATATATTTGAAATACTACAATTTTGGCCATATCCTAGTGTCAGGAATGGACTTGCCAGTAATGGTGGGACTCACCTGCCTTGTGGGCTGCAGTACCAGGGCTGGCCAGCGGGTGCTCCCAGCAATCAGAGACTCAACCCTGCAGCCAGCCAAACACCTGAAGTTGATTATGCAGGTGTATTTAACGGATGGCCAGACCTGCAGTCTCTGCCTTGGTGTGTGTTTTTTCCTGGGCCCTGTATCTTGTTCCTGCATTCCTGTTCCTGTTCCTGTTCCTGTCCCTGTCCCTGTCCCTGTCTGATTCGTTGCTGACCCTGCCTGATCCGGACCTCTGCTGACTTCTCCTGTTTTATCCCTGACTTGTGACCCCGACCATTCTCTGCCTGACCCCCTGTACCTACCTGCCCGATTGTTATTGACCCGCCTGCCTGACGACGCTTGCATTGTATGTACTGTTATCTGTGGGTGGTTTGGTTCGTTTGCACTGTGTTATGTTTTACTATTGCACTGCGTTTATGTTTGCATTGTTAGTCTTTAATAAATTATATTGTTTATAACTTATCTGAAGCCTGCGTTTCCCTGCGTCAGTTCACATACCTCTGGTCATACCCTGGAGCCCTGACACCTAGATTGAGCAGGGCCCTCAATTCCCTCATGTTTTGCATTGTATTGGTATTGTTCTGTCCCCCTTTGTAATGTACAGCGCTGAGCGAACTATTGGCGCTTTATAAATACTGTATAATAATAATAATATTCAATATTAAAATATATTTCAGTAAATATATATATATATATATATATATATATATAAAATGCATTTTTATTACAAAATATATGAAAAATATTTTTAAAAATACATTTTCAAATATACTGTATGTCTTTAAAAATACAAATATCTACATTTTTGGGAATGCATTTACAAATATATGTAAAAATATACGTTAAAATGACTTTTTTATATGTTAAAAAAAAATCTGAAGAATATATTTAAAAAAATATATTTTAAAAATATTTTTAATATATTATGTATATTATTATGAGTGGGTGGAGCCTGCTGGGTCCCCCCCACAGGTCTGTTCTCTGCACAGGCAATGTACAGCCCTGTGATGATATAACTGAAATTACTGCTACTCTTTTATATAAAATGACGAGATAAAATCTGAAACCGTTTTTCTGAATGTACTTTACCAAGCAGAAGAATTTGTTGACTTTCTTAGACTTTCCACCGGGGTACATGCTCTGCTATCACGTGTTTTACATAACTATACCTTAAGTTGGGCAGTTGCCTGCAGTGAAGAATTTTTTGTATAGAACCATTGTCTTGAAACCTCATTCCTCAGGATTTGCTCCATCCATCCTCCGATTTCATGTTTACAATAAAACACTGCCATTCAAAACATGCACTGTTCCCGAGAAGATCATCATTTAAAGCGCAAACAAACTTTCCATTAGAGAGATGAAAATAAATTCCACTTAGGTAATCTTTCTTTAGCCAACGATTGTTCTTAAAGGGTAACTGTGTTTTTATTAACAACAAAAAAGAAAAATTAGAAAATAAAAATAGGACATTTCCAAAATGAACAGAACCTCTTTGATGAGGAAGAATGTGGATGCGCAGTTACCAACCTGTACTGGTCCCTCGACATTGCTTACAATGTACAGCTTCATATCTTCTCCATGGTGTCCATCTCGTCCATCTCTAACAGATGGTTTACAAAGAGGTGGGGTCTGAGTTGGCCTGGACATTGTTCTTTATGGGCACACCTGACCCAGACCCTGCCTCCCTGTAATCGAATCCCAGACTAGATTACTAGAATTCAGATTTACAGAATTGTAAAATGAGAACGATGCTTTGATACCCAAACAGCTTGATCACCTCTAAAATGCCCTTTTCTAATTTAGGCAGACCTTGCACTAAAATTGCAAGGTCTGCTTGTATAGCATGGCCTCATTTTAAAAAATGCTACAAAAAAAACTTGCTTACCCACAGTGCCTGGCAAAAGTGACATCACCGCCTTCCAGTGAGATCCCATATAATGCTAAGCAGCCCACATTTCTGGATTGTGCTGTAGAATCATCTTGAGACTTGGGCTTCTTGGCTTTCCCTGGAATCTTGTTGGAACGATGGTAACACCACCGTCCTCTGTATGGTAAGGTACTATGCTGTAGCTTTAATTTAAATGCCCCTTGGAGTCAGCTGGGGAAGTGAAATAATACTGTCAGTCAGATATGACATTGCAGATGAGATGCACAGTCGTTCTTAGAATGACCGACACACTACCACTCACGTCACGACCCTGCTTCACTCATATGGGCAGTCACTGGTGCCAAAACAAGAGTGAGGAGCCACAGTGTGGCGTTGGATTCGGAGGCGAGCAGCAATGGGAGGCCATACAGCAACACTATGAACAAA